CCCCGGCCTTTGTCCGGTCTCCTTCCCGCCGGCGGGTCGCGGTGAGCGAGCGCTCGGCACCTCAGCTGTGCCGGGGGAGGGGGGTGTGTTTGGGGGGTGTGTGTGGGGGGTGTCAGTCCCTGCACCGTCTGGGTTTCGTGCGTGGAAAGGTGGAAACCGTCGCCCTGAGTTTGGTGGCCTGCGTGTGGGTACAGGGGAGGTGAATGCGGGTTTGGTGTTTTATAATCGCGTCGTCTTTTGGTGCGTAATACTGTGTCATCCCCACCTATCGCGCCTGCTTTCGGAGTTCCTTTGGCCATATTGTTCATCCTGCCGTGTCTTGCAGAAATAGTTTGCTATGGGAAGGCAGCCCTTAGCATACCTCTAAGTCGATCTGTTTCTGACATTAAGTAAATAAGAAAGCCGTGTACATCTACCAGGAGCTTAGCACCAACCCTCCGTTTCTTTAAAATACCCAGGAAAACATAATTTGTATTGGAAAGGAAAACCATGTCTGTTTCTCGGCATTTCAAAGCTTCTGATTATGAATGTGGAAAGGATTTTTTTTGTATTGTAAGTAAAGCTTGATTTCTGAAAAGAAACGAAAGCGAGGTAGCAGAGGGATGCGATCATTTATCACGCAGATGATGGTATTCCCCAGTACCAACCTAGTCCATGATCAGCATCACTGAATTTTCCAGGAAGACAGAGGTTTGGGGATTTTAAAGTTAATTGAAGCAGAAAGCTATGGTAAATTCACAAAATGTGATTAAGGCAGCCCTCAGAATTTAGAACATGGGTATTATGCCTGGTGTTACAATTTAATGAATCTTTTTAATACAGTGCCTGTCTGAAAAGTCTTTTGGCAGTTTGGAGCTAGTGGTACATGCAAATATCAAAATATACTCAATGGAAGAAGAGACATAATTTTGTTCCACAATTGAAATGAGTCTAGTAATGACTTCCATTTAAATGTGGTCTCATGTGCTTTTAAAATTATTTTAAAAAATGGGTTATTGTAATGTTAATAAAATGCCAGACCAACACCCAGAAGTTCCAGGAAAATATTTTCCCAACCAAGGCATCTGCATGTCACAAGAGCATTGAAGAGTTCTGTATTGCACATTGTGTGCTGATCTTGCTTTGTGTGAGATGATAGCAGACTTCTTCCTGTCTCTTTCCTATTGTAGGAAATATATTGATTTAATATGTATTTCTTTATTTTGTTGCTTTTTCCTTGGTATATGTGGGCTTATTCTTTTTCCTCTTACAGTACATCTTTAATGGCCCACAGGAAGGTATTGGATGTATCTGGATATAAAGTTCAGGCCCCTCACTGACATCCAGCATGTTTAGTTTATGCTAAAGCTGCATTCCACATCTGCATTAATCTTTTAAAATGTTTTAGTTAACATGTGCTAACCTGTGTATGTTGATACTGCATTTAAATCTTTGTATAGATGAGACCCTTTTTTTTATCTTCCAGCCCTACACTATTTTTTTTTCTTATTTTTTTAAAACCTTATTATTGTATGTATTATGTTGTAAATCAGTTAACACCACATACATGTGCTTATTTCTTAAATATCTTAGTGTATGTGTGTGTATGTATATGTAAAAAGATACTCAGTTTGCCAAGACCTCCCAGGAAAGCATGCTGGGGGAGATAACCCAGGGACACTACCCTTTCCAGGGCACATAATAGAAGAGGGGAGATTTCTGACATGTCCATTCCTAAACCATACTAGTGATCCCTCTTTTGCATCAGCTGAAGGCTGGTAAGTGCCTGAATTTGAAAGGAGACAGTATTCCTCCTGGGGTACTCTCCCTGCCCCTGGTCTTCCTCATCTCCCGAACTTTGAATAGACTTCTTCAGTCCAGGCCATTGCTCAGCCTTCGAACTTTCACAAAGGATTTTGTGTGTTCATGGGAGTTAACACTCAACAACATGAAACAGAGGTGGTCCTAGTGAGCTGGCTTTTGTTCTTTGATTTGTAGAACCTGTAACAGGTTTTTCCTGGAAGACATCGTGTGTGTGATACAGTGAATGTTGGTAATTCACTATACTGCATATTGAAGAGTTGACAGTAGTCTTGCTTCTCTTTGGTATTTTTTGAACTGTCCTAGTTCTTTTCCTTATTGCTCACTGTGGTGTCCTTAGGGGATGATTAATGAGCTTTCTGAGCCAATTTCAGCCTGAGCCTCTTGAATGGGTGTTTATTCTTAGGCTCATGTATTCTGCTTAGTAGCAGTGAGAGAAGAACCATTGCCCTGGTGCTATGACTTGAGGAGCAGTACATCGTAGCATAGGCCCTGAAGCTGTCTGACCACATTAATTTTAGTTTTGAGATAAAAATTAAGGTTCTCTTAAAGAGAAGTACGGATTATGTAGAAACTGATGGTACTTCTCCAAAGCAGTTTTCTGGTTAATGCGCAATACTTGACATTCCAAGTAAAAATACCCAGAAATTGAAGAAAATGTCCTTGAGATAGGAAACAAAGATGAGTTTCACTGATACTGGGGCAAAAAACCAGCCTTGGACTTGAATCCCTGTCCTTAACCAAAACCAGAGACTGATTCTCAGATCTTTCCAGTTTTATCTGTGGTCCATTAGTATTTGCTTATCATGTTTAAATAAAAAT